ACTCCCGCGAGCGCGAGACGACGCTCCGCCGAAAAGCATTGGCGTGTTCGCGCGACTGTCGGTGCTGAAGCAACAACCGCCGCCGCATCCCCAGCCGCCGTATCCCCATCCGCCGCATCTCCAGCCGAAGCAGCAGGTGTTTCTGCAAGGGACCCAAACTACACAATGCAGGAGTGATGACCTATCAGATGGTGCCACGTCACTAAAGCCGGGAGTTCTTCGCCGCTGGCGCAGCTTCGGGCGGCGGAGCGTGGGCAGCGGAAGCAGCAGACGTCACAGCTGGTGCCACGTGGACGCAGATACGAGCAGCGCGAGTGGAAGCACGAATGGCTCTAGCAGGAGGAAGGGTGAATCTAGTGGGAACACGGGCATAAAGGAGACAGTGCGGAGCAGGTTAGACCTAGGTCAACCCCTCCGCCTTGTCCGGAGTTTGTCTGCTCGTGTGACGGAGAGATTGGAGGCTAGGACAGTCCGTGAAACTGGCAATGGCGGCTCGGATCCAGAAAAAGTGGAGACCTGTCAGGGAATGCCGAGACCTGGGCCCGGAGCTCAAGCTAGAAAAGAGGGAGGTAATCAGCGGGGGATGCGAGTGTCGAAGTCAGGGCCGCTGACACCGAGCTGCAGGATGGGGGGAGAGCTTAGGCAAGGGAGGCAGAGGCAGGTGGGAGAGTGTGGAGATGATGTTGGATGCACAGGGAGGGAGGAAATGCGAGCGGGAGGAGTAGGCGGGGTAGGTTATGGTTGCTGTGGGTGTGATGATGCTTTTTCTGCATCAGCAGGTGATGCATCCGCTGCGCTTCACCAAGAATTTGAGGTCAATGCAGAGTTGATGGCAGTCATAGGAGGTGAGGAGGAGGAAGAGGTTCGCCAGTCAGGGTCGACATTCTTGTCACTGTTGGCAGCAGCCGTGCAAGGAACAGGGAGGTCAAGAAAGGAAGAGACTCAACGAAGGGTTGTCAGGCTGAATTCACTGTCTGGTGTCTCGCTCGGCAGACCTACATCCCATTCTGCTTCCCCAGGTTGGCTGGCACGGATGAGACCGTTGCGTCCTATTTCAGGACATATTATTGCTGTTGGCATCCCCAGAAGTCAAAGCGTTCCAATTTAGGACAAGGATTTTATAATGAGACCATTATTTCAATCTAATAAAGTTATATATAAAGGCTGTGCGCAAAAGTTCTGGGTAGTGGTAGCGGTTCTTGAAGTTATCGAGTTTCTGTCTTGTCCCACACGTCTGAATTCGAGGCAGACTCGCAGCCGTGTGGTTCACAGGATTCGGGAAGTTTTTGTTCGTCCAATCCGTGCGCTGGATTATACCCTGGAGGTGCGAGACACGGAATTGCTCCAGTGCCGTCGATCTGCTGGCGTCACGAATCGCTTCACCCTGACGGAGTACGAAACGGATATCGTGATGGCGCTCGAGTGGTTGACGTAGAGGTGACATGGCGCCATGCTGTCCACCTACTGGGCAGAGTTGTTGGCATGAATATGCTTTTCGACGAATCGAGCGTTTTCTGCAAGTCTGGAAAATATGAACCTTCCGCTCAATTCCGTCCGTCCGGGTGTTGTAGGCCAAACGCCAGCCAGAGGACAGGACCAGCCCAAGCACTACCTCAAGCCGCTGTTATCCATTCTGCAAGACCAGGGAGAACAACAAATGCTCTCAGGCAAGCGAATATTCGTTGTTCTGGCATATTGGCCTCTAAAGTTCCTAGTTCCTGGTGATCTTTCGTGTGTTGTGGAGTTGTATAAACATCAGATTAAGTTCCTCCGATTCTGGCCTGTGACCTTGTTCCACTTAGTCTGAGTGACCTGTCAGTTCTGAGTATCAACGTCTGAAAGAAGTTCTAGCTTGTGCTCTTGTTACTCTCACTTCAGAAGGCTGTTTCAGAACGCGTCGCTCTCAACAATCAGTTCGGAGTCTACCATGGGAAGCATCATGTACGACCCGTTTTACGTGAAGACATGCCAGAAGTCACTTGGCGACGAGTTTGACTTTTTTAGTGACGTCCACGTGAAGAATCCGAGTGCTATGTTAGGAGGAAGGAGCTCAAATGTCTGCAAGGAGTCTCAAGAGATGTCCTTATCATGGCGACGATTATCCGATTTCAACAACCGGTTAGAGCAAAAACTCGCAGACGAAATTAAGCGCTAAACATCATCTGTCGAACGAAGTCCGCTTCAGCTGACACCTCGTCGACTGACACTTCTGAACGATACTGATTGCGATTTCTCTATACATGCTTTCCAGCAGCTCAGCAGCACCTGCCTTTTTGTCTGCGCTCATGTAGTCCTCCTTTGTATCTATTTATCATGTATGTAATGCTATTTGCTTATAAAGTGCATAGAACGCACTGAATCATTAAACAGGTTCTCCTGACGCTGGGCCGGCAGATAGATTTTAAAGAATCTGACACTCTTCAAGATTGCTGAACGGTTGCAAGGCGGCATACAGTGGCATTGGTGAAGACCAAGCCTTTGGCACAGAAAGCACCAGCTGCTGGGTTGCAGTGGGAGTCGTCCGTGCAGTGACAGACACCTTCCAAAGCACAGAGCGGACGGTATATCTGTACAGGCGTCCTGCTGAGGCGAAAGACCCTCATGGCCCACTCATTGAGAAATAAGCCACGAGGATCAAATTGTTGCCTGGTAGTGGAGGGATGGCATACAATACAATACAACACATTATCGGCTTCAGCAGGGAAAGGCCATGCATAGACTGGCAAAAAGACTGCATCCAAGTCAGCCACTTGAACTTCAGTGTTTCATTCTCACCTGACACGCAGGAACCTTGCCGCACCCGGCAATTTGTGCAGAATGTTGTCAAAAGCAACATCTCTATTCTTTCCCCAGTGAGGCAGGGCATCAAAAAGCCTCCCTTGAATCTGCTCAAACTCGTCAGTGATGTCCTGCAGCAAACAACAAACCGGGGATAAAAGGCAAAGAATGTGTGCCACCATGATGAGCTGAGCATGCACTGATGAACCATATTCCAATTGCGCCCTCACAATTTGAACTCACCCCATTTGTGCGAGGGTGGGAGACATTTGTGTTTCTGTAGTACTGAATGTCCACCATAGCCGCATCCTCACTGTTGCCAAGAAGTGTAGTCGACCCGCGAATGAACCGGAAGAAGATGCCTCCATACAGACCAACACCACAGAATGCATTCTGCCTCATGTCCCGGATGCGCTTGATAGTCAGAATAAATTCTGTGAAGGAAGGAAACGTCACATGCATGGATTCCACATGGCATGCTCAGAGAATGAGGCTTCATCATGTACAGAATATTACACTGGCTGGACAGAATGTGCCGCATTTGTTTGTTTGTATACACCCTTATTGACAACACATTGTAATGCACTGTACCTTTGAGTCGCCTGAGTGGAATGACATGGGTGGTCTCAAAGAATTTGATTCCACTGATGCGAGGATCCCAGGCGCATGTCTGTCTGCCAATGGGGTAGTCTGGAGCAAATTCGCACCCGCTGGACGACTGGATGCGGTTGTGGAATCCAACTGAAGAACCAATGGAGGAATGAAATGGCATGTGAGAAATGGAAGGAAAAGGTGCCATTTGTTGTTATTTCAGAAACTCCATGGGACTACTCCCTCAGATGATAACTTATGCCATTTCTTCTGTGAAGACTCACCAACAGGGAATGATGAGAAGGAAGAGCCATCGTTGGTGAAACCGCCGCCGCCGCCAAGCAGAGTCGGTACCTGTCATGGACAAACAGAGGAGGTGAGAGATGCCTCGAGTGGACATAATGTTAGCCCATCATGTTAGCCTGCTAATCATCTCTCAGAGAAATTCAACAAGTGGAACCAGGAAATGTAAAACGAGGGGAGTTTGTATAACTGAATTGTCACAGAAACGGACCTGGATGTTGAGCCAGGCCTGGCACTGCTCGTCTGCATTGCGTGAGACCTCAGACTGGTAGTCTGAACAGAGGCAGGGGGAAAAAACGGGCAGTAAGTTTAGGAACCAAATTACCGCTGAAGACAGAGGGAGGAACGTTCAGGAAAGCAAGACACAGAAGCACATACGTACCCATGGCAGCCAGAGCAGACCAGACGTATTCAAGGCGGCCAGGGAAGAGAGGGAGTGTGTAGGAACCATCCCCTGGTGTGGCCACTGACACAAGATTGTCCCGACGCCAGAAGACACTGCGAGGAGGAAGATCGAGGGATGAATATGGATAACTGCCTATCTTAAGTCACTCTGTGTTTATGCAAATAACTTGTGTATTCAGCAGCTATATTGGGCAGGAGGTGGGTATTTTCCACATTCTGTATGCACAGAAGATGTAAATGAAGAGATGAAACGTAATAAGGAATCTAGCGAGGCGTGGAGTATTACCTGTACGAGGAGGGATACCAGTTGAGGTCCGGGAATGTTGTGTTTTGAGCGAATGAAAGAATTTCATTCTCGATGTTATCATCACTGTGGCATGGAATCGGGTGGGGCGCAGGAAACAGATGGGTATACACAAACACCAGAACAAGACAGAATAAGTTGTGAGGGTGATAGTCCATCACAACATGATATGGACAGTAAGCAACGACAAAGGAAAATGACCAGGACAGGAATGCAAAAAAGGGTAACCATAGTACCTAGCACTGTTGCGCAGGTCACTTCACCTGGTGTTGTAGAAGACAATCTGGCGTTTCCACATGGGGTAGACCTCGAGGGTCATCTTGGAAATGGCTCCGAGCAGCCCCAGGTGCAGGCGAGCAGCCAGCAACTCGTCTCCTCCGCTCACCTCCCTCACCCCCACCCACCCACTCGCCTCATCTGCTGCCACCACCACCCGCACCCCTCGCACGTATTCTCCCATGCGGCCACCCTGACATTGGGTTGGATGGGAATGGGAAGGGGACTGGTTTATCTTCATTTTACGATTCGAACATTCCCCTTTTCCGGAGTGGAGATATTAGCATGAATAGGCTAACGCTGTTGGAGTTGTGGAAGGATACTGTAGACAATCCAATGATACCTTGAACTGCAGTGTGCTGCCGTGTGAGCGGGTGCCAATAGCCCCAACCACAGTCACTCCGTCCCAGTAGGGCGCAGTGGGGAAAGTGACGTTGTGGCGAGCGAGGTAGCTGAAGAAATCGTAAATCTGTAGAGTAGCAAGGTAGCGTAGGTCAATAAAAATGAAGCAGCGGAACAGTCACTGGTCAAGAAAGGTAGGGTGGGCCCCATTAATGGTGGGCTGAGGCAGCGAGGCAGCTGAACGGGAATGAAACAAGGTGCCCAAAAAACAGGTGATTTGTCCTGAAGGACAAGAATTTTCAGCCTGTGATGGGCATTCATACTCACCATGACTCCAGCGTCTACAGTGACGGTCATGGCCTGTGTGTCGAGCTGAATGCTGTTATAGAAGGTTGTGTTGTGACTATAACCACGCCTTTTGAGACGTCTCAAAAAGGACTCACCATGACACCCGCGTCTACAGTGACGGTCATGGCCTGTGTGTCGAGCTGAATGCTGTTGTAGAAGGTTGTGACTATAACGACGCCTGCTTGCCCCCCTGGGCAGTACCACTTGGCTGTGGTGTGGATGAACTGACTCACCACCTTCACCTGCCACGTGGCAAAAGGCCCATTGGATGACATTTAAGCCAATACATCCCTTGAATTGATGTGACTGCACAGAGAAAATACAGGATCTGGTTCATCAATTTGATTGCCACCAACTTAATATGCGTCCCAACCACTTGCAGGTGGCCATGGCAGCATACAGCCGAAGAGGAGTGCTTGAAAACTAAAACAGACAGGGAAGTAAGTGGAGATACGATTTGGGAAAAGGAAATATGGGAAGTGGAAATACCGGAAGGTTGTTCTGGCTGGCGTATGCAACAGCAGCAATGAACTCGTCCTCAGACGCTGGGTAGAACACTCGTGATGCCCTGCAGTCGATGCAACCATGCAAACAAACGGTGGTGTGAAATAATAACGCAACGAGAGAGTAGCTGTTGCCATTGCGAAGAGTAGGAAGAAATCCATGCTGCCATGGCGCTCAAAGAGAGACATAAAGCCTGATTGTTTGCCAGTCCATTCCTTCCTTGCTCATCCCATTGCCTGACCGTCCCATTCAGTGCTCCTTCCATTTCCCTAATCATCCCATTCCTCGCTCATTCCGCCCGCACGTCTTACTTGCAAGTGACCCCATCGAAATTGGCTCCATAGGCGTTGTTGACAGTGCACGTCTCAGAGCCTCCATTTTCACACTCCACCACCGGAGGCGGGACAGCACCCACGGGAACCATGCAGCAGAGCACGAGCAGTGTGACTGCGCAGAAGGTGACAATAACGCGTGGAAAGTTGTAACCACGGGCAGAGGCATGGTCCTTCGCTACAGAGGGACGCCAGGTGCTGGACGGCAGATGAGATCGTGCCATCTTTCCCAGGAAGGCTTGCCGTCTGATTGGCTGTCTGTCACGGGATTGCAACCGCTGGTTGTGCTGCTGATGACCTTGCTCTTTGCACACTCCTGCTGATGCTGAAGCTACCGCAGGAGTTGATGCTGAAGATGATGCTGATTTTTGTACTGCTGGCTGGTACAAGGGGGATTCAACGAATGTGGGACCAACGCAACGAAGAGAAATCACTGGGCGTAATCCTGGCTGTGGATCTGGGTTGAACTTGCAGACATTGAAAGTGCCAGGTTCCGAGCTCTTTAATCTGACCCCCGGACCTTTGCCTGAACAGCGCAAGCCACGGCAAGTCAGGGCGAAGGCCTCGGAGACGTTTCTCGAAAGGCCCAGAACGACCCTGACACAACGGACAACTTAAGAAAGTCCAACGATCAGTCAACCCTGGGAATGTCGAAACCGAGCCAGTCGCAGAAGGACGGCTGAAACCCTGTATAACACAACCAGGACAAGCTGATACAGAAATCCCACAAGTGCGTTCTCATATATTCTTGAAGTCACGTCGAGAAAACCGACAAGGCATGGATCCTGGTGCTTTCAGAACCACGAATTAGGAGCCTCGGAGCGATCGCGGCTTGGAATATCGTCGGCCGATCAGCAGCGGTCTTGATGCCACGCTGGAGCCAAAGACGCGACATGTGATGTCGCCGCAGGGAACGGACCAGGAGTGAAGAATGATCGCAGCGGTGTTTCCCGAGATAGAGAGAACCCTTGCTGGCCATGACGGGACGTTCTGTGATGGTTCAGGCCTTCTTCCTGCCTTCAAGTCACGTGAGTCGACGTGTCTGCTCTCACGCCAGTCACAGGATTAGCAGCGAGGTGACGCCAATAAGAGTCCGTACATGGTGGTACCATGATTGCGAAGAGCTTGTATGAAAAAATATGGAATCTGCATCGTTGAGACCAATGGCACCATGCCACGAAATCGGCAATGCTGCGTTGGACAGGACTGACAGGACATTGTTTCGTGAATGGACCGTCATCCTATCTGACCAGACCAGTTTCACGACAAGACGGCTCGTGGATTCCAAGACGAAGGAGCACACCATTGCTATCCGTGACAACTGCTGGTATCAAAACTTCAGCGGAATGTCCATGGCTGCGGATGACAAAGCTCATGTCTTCTCAAGTGATGTCATGGGGATGTGATGTGCTTGGTTGGTTGGGAGGGGAGAACGGGGTCCGCGATTGTACCATGACGCGACCAATTATAAGTTGTCTGAATAGTCAATGGATTTAGCGGCCATTCTAACAGAACCAGCACGGTTATTTATCACATTCCAGATATAGGTATTTGGGAAAATCAGAGGTTTCAAAAATAATCCATTTAGATAAAATACATATATTATGATTGTTAAAATAGCACCTAACATGCTTTCCATGACCGTCATGTCTTTTACAGGTATAGCACTAGATGATACACATCCATCACTCTCTACTTGAGTGAGCCACTTACAAGTGAGATTCTGAAGTCAGCCTCAATGCTGACGCATGATTTGAAGTTAGCACGTCACCCTCATCCAGTTTACGCAATTCACGGGCCCGAAATTTGGGCCGGACATCTCGCCGCATTTGAACTCGGTCATCCAGTTTCCCTGCGGTTCGGTTCCCCCTTGATGATCGCCGCCACATGGAAGTTGCCTTTCACGTGGGGGGGTTGGGGGGGGGGGCAGTGGTCGCAGTGGTCGCATTTGGGTCACGAACACCGCGATGATACAGCGTGCAAACATTTCGGTGAAATCATGAGGCACATGGGCGGAAACGACACATGGGATGCGGCGACGGCAAGTCTCTCATTTTTAGGAACACCTAACCGATAGGGCAAAAAGCGTTTCTTTCTCGCACATTATGGGTATAATGCTACACTGCTTCTCAAACCAAAGTTAGCTTCTTCCTGTCATCTCTCGCGGAAGATTATATCCAGCTGCTGCAGAAATATGAGTTCGGACCCAAACCTGAATCAGACGCAGGGGCATTACCTTTCCAACAAGAGTCACCTGGTCATTTCTTCCAAACCAGCCACATCCGCACCTCCTGGATTATTCCAACAACCCCCCAGCTTCAAGCTGTAACCAGGTTAGTCCACCCAACCACCAACCGTACCTGCGCTCTGCGATTTTTTCGGCCCATAGTCCCACCCTGCCTCGACCATCGTCCTTCCCTCGGTACCACAGGCACGTACAAAGGCTCCATATCCAGATTCCATTAGCAGTCCATCCACAAAGATTAGCCTTCTATTACTCTCGATCTGGTTTATCAAGCTACCAGCTTATCTACTTCATTCTGCGGAAGTTAGATCTGCAACAATGGCTTACACCGTCACCTCGTCAGTCCACTCAACACTCTTCGGACAGTCCATCGCCTGTGTGCAAAACGATTCGTCCCATGACATCGCCAGATTTATAATGTCGGTTCCCTCGCAGCCGCCTATCAACCTATCGCTTTCCGTCCAGTCTCCTCAGAGACTGAGCGTCCCAGACGCATTCCAAGAAAAGCCTCGGGTGTCCACTCCTGCCAAGGCTTCGGCTGCATCACTTCGTGCTGCTGACGGCTCAATCCCTGTTGGCGTACACACTGCTACAAGGGAAACCTTCAGTGCGGAGAAAGCTCGTCTACTAAGGCAGAAGCTACGCGAGAGCGAGGCATTCCACGACACCATGTACCACTCCGGCCTGGCCTCGCGGCTCGCTTGAGGTCCGCAGATCAAGGATATTTGCAACTCCAGTCTCCGCCCCGTCAACATTTTTGGCTCCTATACATAGATGCCGGGTCGTAAACGTGCGTAAGACCGCACGTAGCCCCCAAATGATTTTTTTGTACATAATGTTTAACGATGACTTTGTTCAATGAAAGTGGAATCCCAGTGACATTTGTACTGACGTATGTGTCGGCTAGTAGATAATCAAAGCGACGTTGCTATTAGATCGGAAGCCTTGACGGCTCGAACCCTGATTAGCGCGCAAGGAGGATTTTTAGTGGAAGTTTAAGCGTCCCGTCGTGGAAAAAGAATGGTGGTTAACAAGTTCTTGAAAGACGCGATTGCGACATCCTTTAGAAAAAAAACTGGAAAACGGGTGGGTAGCGAGGGGCGGAAGGTAGAAAGGGAGCGAGGGACAGCGACACAGTGGCAGCACAGCTTCTCATCTATGTGTGTGGAAGAGGGCCTGTATGGAACGTCTACTTCTTGAAGTAGAACTCTGAATGGATGCAAACAACTAGATTGATCGTTCACTGTACATTACATCTCTGAAATTCTCTAGATAACATGCTACTGTACGCGTAGAGAGACGGAATGGTGGTAATGGCGCCATCAATGAGGCAGCCCTGCACAAAATTGAAGTCGTCCTGAAAGGCATCTTCCAGGAGACCATGGAGGCTGTGATGCCCAACAGCCCGGTGCTCATCACGCTAGCCGAGACGCAAGCCCGGAGTGGTACATAGCATCGTGATGAGAGTCGCTTTTCCGGAGAGACATTCGCAGAAGTCTGGCCTTTTCAGGAGTAAACTTCGGAGCCAGCTTTTCATTCGTAGTGATTGCGATGAAATCATCCGCTGCTCGAGGCAGCAACTGCACTGATTCCGTATTCATCTTCAACTGCTCTGATCGCTGATCCTTGTGATGTCGCTTGGCAGCGAGATCCACGTTAGCACTGGCAGTCACGCGCAAGCTTTCGCAGCTGGAGTGCATCGACAGACCCTGTCTTGTGTCAAGCACCAAGCACTGTCCAGTGAATGAAGAGCCTAGAATCGTTGCCATGTCTGAGCCTAGAATTCTCGCAGCGTTGCAGACTGAAAACAGAAGCTTGAACACAGCAGCTGGTAACTCAAATGTGGAACAGATGCTGTGGAACTCAAATGCGGCACTTCAATAATTGTGGTTGTGAAGTCACTTCTCGACTCTCGAGCCTCTTTTAGGCGTTGAGCAAGCAATCTGCCTTCCACAAAGCCAGACAGGCACTCAGCGTTTCTGATCGGATGGATGGAGCTCTCTCTGTTCAATCAGTGCTGGGCTGGTGGTGTCGATTTCTGCTGCTGGACTGCACGGAAATGCAATTCTGCGTTACAGTCAAACAGAGCCAGTATGGGAGCGAAACGGAAAATGCGATGAATCTCGATTGTGCGACGGAATGTTCCACAACTGGTGTCGCAGGTGCGTCGGGGGAGTCGAATGTTACGCAGCTGTATTGAGGCCGCTTAGTCACAAGTGACAGTGCGACAGGTCAGCTTGTGGGTGCCTGAGATCAACTGTGTATCGCCTGAAATCTGCAGCCAGGTCCTGGACGACACCTGGCCGTGGCATCAAGCATGGCGCATCGCTGTTGGCAGCATTTCGCCGTGCAGTCGCGTCAGCGGAACTGGATCTGAAAAAGATGACGCGGACTGCTGTTCGCATGCGTTGCGACGTTAGCGACCAAGTGCGCTACGGAAAGGCGATCGGAATGGGATGCTTTCTGCTGCCGCGCAAATTTCGGCGATGATCATGGATTGGTTTTTTGCATTCCCGCAGTTCTTTACACGTTCGCCCTAATTTCGAAAAGGACCTCGACCTGCGTGGACAAATCTGCTTTCCACGTCCCCCTGATCAGCATCCTGTGGGTCTGCCACAAAGCAGAATCTGCTTGTAAGAACTCTATGGACATTGTAAGGAATTTTCTCGGCATTCCTTACGGAGCCCGACTACATCGCGTATAGCAACAGCCGTTGTTCGCCCGTTACTGCTAACGGGGCTTCGCCGACTTCGCGCGCACTGTTTCACCAAACCTCGCACTGCTGGCCTGGCCGTGTCGGCCTACGCTTCGGGACTAGCCCGAGCCTCGCTCCAGCGTAGCACTAGCTAGCTCGCACGCACCGCGTTACCGTTTGCATGTTTCGCGTATAAATGTTCGCTCATGCCTTCGCTCACATTTTGTACTCGTTGTTTAAAGAACTAGCGAGAGTTTGGCTTAGGAGCCATAGTAGCTTAGGTG